TCGACCCGTGCTCGATTTCTAACAAGCCGCCGCGAATAAATCATTCGAAATCGTTGTGTTGTGCGGTTGCTGGCACCGGCGACGTTGATCTATACGCGCTCGCGTCGGGGTGTTCCGCGGAGCGTCGAGAGAAGATCGAGGGGAAAAGAAAGGAAGAAAAAGAAAACGTTTCACACGTATATACACGTTGGTCGTGCCTGTTAGATAATCGGCCTGATGGACAGCTGATAAAGAAATCCCCGTGGAACTGATGGAATCTTTCTCTCGCGCGTTTCAACGACTTATCAGGCAGAAAGATCGCGTGAAATCGAGCATCCACGTTGCGTCACGAATTCGTCTTCTCGCCTCGCTCGCGAAGGAATGTTCGAGGGAATGTGGTAATAAGGAACCTTAAGGTGGAAGTTATCCTCCCTGTCGTCCTATCGTCGAGAGATTTCTCTCACACCTGGATGAAAACAGCGGGACAGCCGGGAGAATGAAGGACAATACGCGTCACTTCTCAATCTTATCAGGGACTCTGTGAAATTATAAATCCTCAGAGTACGTCACGTGCCGAATTTCGTCGACTTTTCGTGACTGAGAGGATAGAAAAGAGGATAGTTGATAAGTGGACTTACTTCGGAAGGATTGGTGAGCGCCGTCTTCAGGATTGTCCCGTTGACGAGGTGGCCTGAATGCGCTGGGTGACTTGAGTGGCTGGTGGTAGATTGCGAGTTGAGCGGGTCGCCCGACGAGATCTTGTGATGATGAAGGAAGCCACCAGCTAGCTGGACATGCTGCTGTTGGCTATGGTGAGCGACTGCGGCTACAGCCATGTGTTTGTCAAGCATCGTCGAGCCCATGGTGCTTTTGCTACCACCAAGGGATCCCGACCCGTTAACACCGCCAATGTTACCGCCGCTACTTATGCCACCCATGCTGCCACCTACTCCGCTTGTTTTGTTGCTCTTCTTGTGTTTTTTGTACTTCACCTATGGAACGGGGCACCAGGTGAAAATTAATCATTTACCACCGAGACACAATACACAACGGTTTGACATTTAGCTCCTTTAGATAGCGCGAATATATTTTAAAACAGAAGCATCTGTTTCTCTCGATTGACGACAACATCGTTTCGAAAGCATCCGGCGTTTCATCGGCCTAATTAAATACCTGTATTATATCATATTATGAACATTTATAAATTAATATTATATATATATATATATAATTTTATATTTAATTTTCACTGTTTCTTTAATTATTTATGATTTAATTTAATCTTTAATTGAAATCATAAATTTAGAAAAACAAGTTATTTGACTGTAGTTTCAATTCAGCTTCAAAATCTGCATTACCATTATTATATTAAATATAATATAATATTAAATATAATATACGTAATTTTGTATCTGATTTTTACGGTATTAATTCTTATTTATTCCTTTAATTATTTGTAATTTAAATAATCGAAATCATAAATTTAGAAAAACGGTCTAATTCAGTTTCAATTACCATTTTCTATCCCATTAACATCAACTATATTTCTATATTTAATTTTTGTAGTATCAACTTTCAATATTCCTTTAATTATTTATAATTCAAATAATTGAAATCGTAAATTTAGAGAAACAAAAATTTCAAGACCCATTTTCCGTACCATCAAATTAGATCATTATTTTCAATTTTTTGTTGATTGCTGACGTTAATTCTAACAATATTTTTCGTTCGAAACGCGTGAATTTATCCTTATTTACGAACTTTTCAATTACTTTGACAATTAAAACGCTATTGACACTCTAGCGTATCGCTGCTTAATTCACTTTCGCTGTCTACGCCAGTTATTAAGACGAAGATTACGAAGATACCGGGTTAATACTAACCTTGTAAAGGTTATACACAGCGCCAGAATTCCTTCCGCCCGGCATGCGGTCCTCTCGGACCGCCTGAAGAACCATGCCCTGTTCAATACATTTTTTGAAACGGCAGTATTGACACCTGTTCCTCTGGGCCTTCGTGATTTCGCAACCTCCTTCTGCTACGCATGTGTATACTCGCCTATTTTGTACAGTCCTTTTGAAGAAACCTTTACACCTGCGCACACGTTTATAAGAAGATTTTATATTCCACGAATCTCGCAATCGGCATGGAAAGTTAGGTTTTACCGCGACAAACTATCGTCGTCCACTCTCTCCGAGTGTATGTCTTAAACGAATAAACGGGCGATAAAAATCTGTCCTTCAAGGTGTAGATTGTATCACACCTTCGTAAATATTTTTCACGAAACTCATTACCGAAAATGAGTTTTCTGCAGTAGAGAGAGAAAGAGAGAGAGAGAGAGAGAGAGAGAAAGTGAAAGAGTGTGGAAGATACTTTACGATCAGTCGTCAAGTATCTTTTTCTTTCTTCTCTTTTTTTCCCCCCCCCCCC